CACGGCCGCCAACGGCGCACCTCTGCTAGTTGCAGGTGATTTTAATGCGCCCCATGGGGCCTGGGGATACACGCGTGAAACGCTCAAGGGCAAACACCTTTGGGAAGACTCGCAAGACCAACGGCTTGAACTGATCGCGAACCCCGCCGATCCGACGCGCCGGGGTAATAGCGTGAGCGCAGACACGCTACCGGACCTCGCGTTCGTGTCGAATGTCACCGCGGCGTCTTGGCAAAACACGCAGGAGGACTTAGGGAGTGACCACTCTCTGATAGAGATTACGGTAGACACGGGCCCGAGCGTTCGTAGAACATACTCTGAAAGCACAGGCCGTAAACTCAAATTAGTGCAGTGGGACGCGTTCCGCAAAAAGCGAGCAGAAGGCGGGCGAGGAGACGAGCCGATCACGGATATAGACGAGTGGACCGCGACGCTCAATCGGGACGTAGACGCGGTAACGTGCCACATCCCGCCCGAAGCGAAGCTCGAAGTAATCGACAGCAGGCTCCTACACATGTGGGAAGCAAAGCAAGCCCTACTCAAGAGGTGGAAACGCCAAAGACATAACCGGGCGTTGAGGAAACGCATAGCACGGTTAGACAGAGAAATTGAGGAACATGCGTTCCAAGTCTGTAGGTCACAATGGGAAGACCTGTGCAACGGCCTCGAGCGACAGATGCGCGGGGCGAGTGCTTGGCGCCTTTTCCGGCACCTATTGGATCCGGAAGATACTCGTGCCGCTCAAGGCCATAAAACTCGGAGACTTGTGAACGATCATAAAGGCGATGACCTGCTCGGTGCAATACGTGACCGTTACTTTAAGTCGGCAGAGAGCGTCCAACACCCAGATTATGACGGCGTTGCTAATGAGCAACTAGACGCCGAATTTAGCGAAGCGGAAATACGGGCAGTCCTTTTTGAACTAAACACCCGATCGGCGCCCGGCCTGGACCGGGTTTCGAACAAGGCTCTCCGCAACTTAGATGACGAGTCAATCTCCCGATTTGTGACTTATATCAACGAGTGCTGGCAACGCGGTTCCCTTCCTGAAGCGTGGAAAAGAGCTCGAGTTATCATGATTCCTAAACCGGGCAAGCAGGTTGCGCTTGATAATCTAAGGCCAATTTCGCTCACGTCTTGTGTAGGAAAAGTTCTGGAGCACGCAGTCCTCAAACGCGTGACTGACTTTCTCGAAGTCCGCGATGTATTTCCGCACACCATGCTAGGATTCCGCCGCAATCTCTCCGCACAAGACGCGTTGCTTCAGCTGAAGCACCACATTGTTGATGACATTACCAGCTCAACCAAGGCGATCCTTGGCCTAGATATAAAAAAGGCCTTCGACAGCGTTAAACACGAAGCAATTTTAAACAGAGTTCAAACATTAGGACTAGGACAAAAAACATATAATTACATACGTGACTTCCTTGCCGGCAGACGCGTACGCGTCGTCGTTGGAGATGTGGAACTTCAAGAATTTGAGATGGGCTCGAGGGGCACGCCACAAGGCTCCGTAATTTCGCCATTACTCTTTAATTTAGTTCTATTGGGGCTACCCGAGAAATTATTAGGCATACAAGGATTGTATCACAGTATCTACGCGGATGACATAACCCTCTGGGTTCCCGGCGGAGGTTATGATGGTCACGTCGAGCGTACGCTCCAGGCAGGTGTAGACGAAGTTCAGGAGTACTTGCGAGGAACGGGCCTCGAATGCTCGGCAACCAAGTCGGAACTTCTAATCTACAAACCTACAAGTAGAGGTCGCAAAACCCCGCGCGACGAGGAAAGGGAGTGCTACAAAATAAGCGTTCTATTGGCAGATGGCACTCCCATTCCACACGTAGACAAAATTAGAATTCTGGGGTTACACCTGCAGGCAAACGGCCATAATGGTGAGACGGTGCGAAGACTACGTCGTTCGGTAGACGACACGATCCGACTCCTACGTCGTATCACGAACAGACGTACTGGTATGCGCGAACACTGCGCGATCCGTCTAGTGCAGGCGTACGCAATAAGCCGTATAACATACGTTGCCCCCTACCTCAGAATATGCACCCGACGCATCACGTCGGGCGCCGTAACCAGCGAGCTAGTGACCTTCAAAAGAAGTATGGCACTAGCGACGAAGTTGTGTACGTAGATGCCGCGAGATATGGGGACGGGAGACACGCACACGCCGCTGCGGTCGTTGACCGTGCGGGCAAATGCCTCGCGAGCGCCACGGTGACCACGGGACATACGGAGGCGGCCGAAGAAGCCGCGATAGCCCTAGCAATCGCCACGGTGCCGAACGCTACGATCGTAATCAGCGACTCGCAGGCAGCAATCCGCGGCTTCGCGCGCGGCCGCGTCTCGCGGGAAGCGGCCCGCATCCTTAAGATGTGCGGTGATGGTGACTCAGCGTCGCGATCGCCACAACAAAATTTAACAGTCTTCCTCCTTTGGACCCCGGCACACACCGATGTCCCGCTTCCGGCAACGAGGCGGCCCACGCCGCGGCTCGAGGTCTCACTAGCCGAGCCGCGGCACATTCCGTGGCCGCCGCCTCCGCTCCCGAGAACGGGGCTTCTGATCTGCCGGATCGAGACACTTCGACAGACACGCAGCGACATCACAGACCACAATGGTCGTGGGGTGATCGTCTCATCACGTTCCGAGATATTACGCAACACTACAGACTGGAAAGGCGAAAGTTCCCGCCACCGCATGACAAATTAAACAGACACGATGCCGTAAGCTATCGCTTACTACAAACCCACTCTTACCCCAGCCCGGTCGTCTTACGCCACTGCTACCCGCACTTACACATTACCGATCTATGTAAAGCATGCGGGCGCAGAGCAACGCTGCGCCACATGCTCTGGGAATGCGCCGATAACAATGGTCGAGAAACGGCCGCCGTTCGCGATGCGCCTATGGCGGCTGCCAATACCAGGCAACAGGAAGCCTCGAGCTCACTCGTTCCCGCCGCCGTCCCGTCTGCGGGAGCCGCGGGGGACCTTCTCCGTCGGCGACGCCGCCGCTGGGAGGCGGCGCTCAGAAGCTCGGAGCTCAACGACCAGCTCTGGGCTGTCCGGCAGGCCGAAGATGCCGCCCGAGTTCAGGGACTCAGCGCCGCCATCTGAGGCCACCAAGACCAAGCTGCCGGCCAAGTTCTAATAAAGTTTCCTCTCTCTCTCTATAGCAATGTGTCGAGGAAAGCACTTCGAATGGATCTGGTCACCTGCAGAAGGGGAAACGAGGAGTCTTTGTGAATTGAGTAGTCATTACGTAACTAACGTTAAAGTGACGCATCGGAAGCAACTAGGAGATGAATGAAAAACCGATTTAGAGCTCTTTTACTGTGATCAATAAATGCAGCACTTCCGATAATGATAAGCAGATGTCACCCACCCAACGCGGTAATCTGATGTTTATGGCTGCGGTGTGTGATTTCTGACTACAGGACCGAATCAAGCAATCGAATCCTAGCCGCAGCGGCCGCATTTTTTTTTTAGGAGGCGAAAAAAAATAGACGCTAAAGGCTTGTGCACCTATATTTAAGTGCGCATTAAGGGAACCCCAGAAAGTCGAAATTTCCGGAGCCCTTTTGCGTTCGTCACAATCATATGGTGGTTCTGATACCTAAACCTCCAACAATTAATATTCTGTTTGAGTTGCTATGAGAAACTGAAGAAAAAAATACGACCGCATCTTGTGCGTGAATAGTCTAGAGCCGTTTTGTTCACATCAACCATAACAAAAGCGCTCTGCATTAAACCAGGCGCCCCAATGCATAGCTCCTTCTAGATTTGTATCAACCAATAGACGGCTTTAGTTCTCCGAGGTTACGGCCTTGGTTTCCGAACGGTAATGCTATGACTTCGCTTTATGGTCAGGAACATGAACGTTCGAAGATTGCCGGCGCATATACAGGTAAGGCTTCGATAGATATTATTCGTGTTAAAACGCGCGCACTCGCGCGCTCACTTATATACCCGACACGGGCGCGTGTGCATATGCATGCTTCAAGCACTGCTAATGGTGTCCCTAGGCGTAAGCGTTGTACTGTTACGTTCATAACAGAACATATAATGTGTTTATCGATAGGTGGTAGAAAGTTCCGGAGCCCTCCACTACGGCGTCTCTCCTAATCATATGGTGGTTTTGGGACGTTAAACCCCACATATCATATCAATGTGTTTATCGGCATCATTGACATGATAGTGTAATCTTCTTTTCAGCCCCGCAGTATTTCTGTGTATATTTGGCTCGTTTCCTATGTGCGTCGCATTTGCTTAATATTGACCAGGTCGTATCTTGCCGGAACTTAGCTACGGAGCAGAAACGTGGAGACTTACAAAGAGGGTTCAGCTTAAATTGAGGGTGACGCAGTGAGCAATGGAAAGAAAAATGGTAGGTGTAACCTTAAGAGACAAGAATAGAGCAGAGTGGATTAGGGAACAAACGGGGGTCAAGGATATCAAAGCTGAAATCAAGAAGAAATGCACATGGGCCGGGCATGTAGCGCGTAGACGGGATAACCGCTAGTCATTAAGGGTAACTAACTGGATTCTCAGAGAAGGCAAGCGGGTTAGGGGGAGACAGAAGGTTAGGTGGGCAGATGAGATTAAGACGTTTGCGGGTATAAATTGGCAGCAGCAAGCACAGGACCGTCTTAACTGGCGGAACATGGGAGAGGCCTTTGTCCTGCAGTGGACGTAGTCAGGCATTATTATTATTATTATTATTATTATTATTATTATTATTATTATTATTATTATTATTATTATTATTATTATTATTATTATTATTATTATTATTATTATGACCAAGTTGGCATGAACTCGGCCAGCATTCATGGCAATACGTGTGCGCCTATTGTCACTGAGGATTGATTTGGTCGTAGTTCGATGACGCCAATACGACGCGTCCTTTCTCGCTTCGGTCGGTATCTATCACATCTCTCCATTATCTTTACATCGGCTACATGGTATTGTTAATTCCATGCCCAGGTGTTGCGCAAGTACTACCCTGGTGGCTTCACGGGCTACGACCGCGAGGGCCGACCGGTGGCCATCATCCCTTTCGGCAGCTGTGATCTCAAAGGTACGCATGTCCGAACTGTGGTACCAAGCTAATCAATCGATTCACTGGACGCTAGGTCACTTTTAGGTTGTGCTCTCAAGCACGTGCTTTTAAACACAACCATGCGTCTTTGAAAACCTGATTCGCACGGATGCATTTGCTTGGGTTTCTAAGTGGGCATATTTTCAAATCTGATATTCGTAGAAGCTAGGAATGCTATGAAAATTTAAGGCTATTATGAAGCCAATTGAAGTCGTTTGCATATGAATGAGAATATACAGTATATATAAGCGTAGCTACAGCCGAGTGTAAACTGCTTAAAGTATTTCTTACCAAAAACAACTCGGACGGTCCAAAAGCCATCTCATAAAGCTATAAATAGGGCGATGTATAAACAAAAAAATACCGAGTTGGCAAGCCAACCTCCATTGGCAAGCTGTTACTTGATTGAGAAACGAGGACCTCATAGACGCCTAATACAATGACTGGCTAATTAATGTTCGCTAGCATTGGCTAAGCCGGGTAGTGATACCTAATTTTTGCTAACGTTGGCATGATCTTGGCTTGTGTTGTCGGTGCATAGCATAAGGTTTGGCCGCATGACCGTTCCTCTTGGGTGTATATGCAGTGATCTTCTTTTGACAACGGTGCTCTTTAAGCTGACAGGTAGTCGTTACTGCAGAGCGAGCAGAAAGCTATCATCAACGTGAAGCGGCACGCACTCTCTTCAACCTCTTCTTTTTTTTTATCTTCAAATTCGTCCACAGAACACGTGCGCCGATGTGTCCGGAGTGGGATGCAGTAACTATGGCTTGCAAGACGACGAGTAGAGAGAGTGTGGAAAAAATGTGATAGAAAGAAACCGAGCGAGAGAGACAGAAAAGACAGAGATAGGAAGAAAGGGGAAGTGAGAATTAGAGAGAGAGGTTGGGAAGGAACGATAGAAAGAGCAAGGAACAAGTAGAGAGATAAGCACAGAAGTACAAATAAACAAAAAACAATAAACTAGAAAAAAACGAAGAGATAGAAAAAAGCAAGAAAGTAAGAGAAAAGTGAAGAGAAACGAAGCAGGTCCTTCAGCTTTGCACTGAATTGAGGCTCGCCACTTCTAGAGAGACGCCTCGTTTATTTTTCTTGTTCTTTTTTTTTTCGGGTATGCGACTGAACAGTAAAAATATTTGACGCGACTTCATTTCAGGCCTGCTGAACAGCGTCAGCATCGACGACGTGATGCGGCATGTCGTCCGGCAGTTCGAGGATGTGGAGGAAGACATCAAGCGGCAGTGCAAGAAAGTGAGTGGTTGTTGCATCCGTGTGGTTTGAAAGATGTGATATACATTTCTTTCTGGTGACTAGCCAATCGGCGTTATGCCTTGAAAATGGCAAGTTAAGGCTGCTACGAATTCATCACACGAGCTGTAGAGAAATGCATTACGAGGGATATTTAAAAAGAAGCAAATCCGCATAAATGTCGTATCACGTGCAGACGGTGTATTTTGTGCGCGGCGTTTCAGTTGTTAGCCTCAAGAAAGGGAACATTGGAAGAGACAGTATGATTGGGCGTGTTGGTATAACATGATAAAGAGTGCTTACCAGCGCAAACGACAGGGCAGGAGGAACACGCGCGGAATATTCTCGCCGACAGGCTGGTCATCTATCGCAGTTTGTCGGCAAGAAAAATATATCATTAAATAATCAACGCAATTGTTAGACAATTACTGGTTCTAGTGTGTTTTCCTGTGTATATCAAGCCATACCGAATGTCTGTGTTTTCACGTATATGTGTGAAGTCAATTTGCTTATCTAGACTTGTGTTCGACTACATGTGGCTCATGTCCTAGCTGCTCGATGGCGCAGTATTTTCACATCTTGTGTCCTGCTGAATGACATTATGTGCCACTCTTATCATTTTCATTGATGAACTTGTCTGTTTTATTGCTAAATTTGTCAATGCGATTATAAAAGCACCAGCCTCTCCCATTCATCCTTTCCATAAGAAAATGTATATGTCAATTGCACAGTGGAACATTCGTTTTTAATGTCAATTTTACTTCTGTGCAGCAGTTAAAACATGGCAAATCGAGAATTGGGTGTATCCTTTTCTAGTACGTACTTTACGTAGACGTTGCTTTCGACACGTTCTTTTTACCTGCCGGAAGGGTTCTATCTGCTTACACCAGGTATTGTGCATTGTTACACCACACACAACTCTACCAGGCAACAACAGGTGTTATTTTTTAACAAGTAACACGTGCAGTTGCAGCAGGAATGTTCCGTATTACGCCAAAGATTTCCCTTTCAGAGACATAAAAGTTCTCTATTTCTGGGTTGTTTTTCGGCAAACATTGAAGGAATTTCCAGCAAAACATTCTGCACCACAGTACTAATTTCCGCCCCCATCCGCGCACACACATACAATATTTACACGTGTCTCACGCACTGGCGACTTTTTACATCATGACTAGCCCCTCCACGGCCACACAACAAAAGCATGACTTTAGTGATTCATATAGTGTTAGTACACAAAGTAGGAATTGCTCCGCCTGACTATCAGAAACAAATCTCAAAGGCCATGCTTGCGTGGTGCATGCTTCAAAACCGATTACATCAGATGAAGGCGCACTGTGACCGCTAATTATCGGTTGGCATAGAAGACTTCAACTATTCCTGAAATTCCCTGCAATGTCGCGAAGATTCCCTTTTCCCCTTTGGTTTAAAGTTACAGGCGAAAATTCCCCGAAAAAGGGAAAATTCCCTGCACGGCACATCACCGGGTTGTACGTTCAACCATTTCAAGCCCTTAGCCGGAGCCTGATTTGTGCACCAAGGTCTCCTGACATCATATGAATAAAAAAAAGCCATATGTTCTCGTGTCACTCTTTCTTCGCTAGCGGTGTAAAAGCTCGCCTTAAATTACAGTTTTTACTTCTCTGCTCTGCTCTTGAAAGTCTAACCACGTTTGTGATGTCATTTGTAGCGGATATCGATATTCGCTGTTGCCTATAGAATGATCTTTTCTCTAACCTCAGAAATGTAAATAAACATTTTATGTGTCACATCACTTTTTGTGATAGGCCCGCCCACCCACCTTCTTTGCTTAGTGGCCAAGGTGTCACTTCGCTAAAATTCAGAATGCGGGTTGGATTCCAGGTGGCGCAGCCTCGTTTCGACGATGACGAAGTGAAAATCTATCCATGCATTTGCATTTTGTACTACGATAACAATCCAGGGTGGTTGAAATTAATACACTTCCCTACCCACTATGGTGCCCCTCGCATAACCTTCTACCGCCGTTTGTAGGCAATATATATATATATATATATATATATATATATATATATATATATATATATATATATATATATATATATACAACCGTATTGTGATTTTGACAAGCGAAACCCCGGAATTCAGCTTTTACAACATTATTGCTGTCATTCGTTGTAGCTGGATTTGTAGTCGTATAATGATTTGTTTAAAAAATCTGAATGAGTTTAACATGTGCTGAATTTATTGGGGCTCATTTAATTACGACCCTCAACCTATTTGCGGTATTTATGCGTACTTTCAGCTGGACAAACCCATCGAGACGATCACTTACATATTCGACTTCGATGGATTCGCTCTTTCCACGTTGGCTTCGAGAGCAGGTGAGCAACGTTCATGAATCATGTTTTGCAATTCATGGTACTCTCGTGAGCACCGCATTCTTCACTTAAAGTGGCTGTATGTTTGGCAGAAAGAACACACATTAAACTCACTCAGTAATTAGTTTCGTATGAAGGGTCTTCAACGTGGTCGGCTGGATGACTTTACATTGCGTCCGAAGACTTTAAAGTTCACATGATTCGTGACGTCATCAGAAAAAAAATAATGTTTGCAACTGTGGCCAGGGAAGCGCTGGCTAACACTCCCTAGAATACATACATCCATATGAATAGCCAAGAAAGTCGACTGTAAAGCAACAGCCTACGCAGCACATTAGTAGTGCACCACACGTGTACGAGGACGTTGTCGGTTCCGCTTCCACGAGCGGCAAGTTATATCAAGTGTGGAGCACTTTCAAGTGTGGAGCAATTTAGAGGCCCGGCTTGCCATCCACCATCTCACGCCACGGGGTCACGCATTGTTCAATAGTCGATAAAAGTCTAAACCAAGAATAACATTGCGCAAAACCAGAACTAAATAAATGAGTGAGGTCTAAAATGACATTATTCACAGAAACAATCAAGAATTAATTGCGACAACTTACTTGAAGTTGCGAAATACACTTCTGAAGCGTGTGCCCAATAACCGCGCAATGCGACAGAGGGCGTCATCGCTTCGGCAGTGGAGCGATTGTAAAAAAAAAAAAAAAAAAACTCGCTTGGTTAACCCACGCTACGCACTTCCTCGGGTTTCACAGAAGTGTTGGGTTTATAATTACACAATGGCGACATTAGCTCATGATTGAGCGCGGGACTTGGAACTACACCAAGATCTACAAAAGAACTACGTTGGCGCTAGATTAACCCGCAGAATTTTTTTCGTCTTCCACATTCATGTACTTTTGCTACAATTTTTCGTCTCAAGTGAAAAATAGGGATAACTCGCTGTGTGCTCTCATTGGCTTCGTTACCTGCTGGATTTATGTAGTCGTGTGTAGAAGAAGAGTGAATCCCTCGATCGTATTCCCTTCTCGTTGTAACGGTACTGCACCACTTCCAGCCCCGTGAGCTGACACAAGGTGAGGAAGTGCTAATGTTCTGTTTTAAAGTTTCCTTTTCATCTACGGCATCATGCATGATATGACGAAATGATCTAGAATTACTTAGTCTACTTGCAGTTTGAAATGCGAAGCATTTCTTAGCGAACTTAGGTGACTTTGAGCGTATCTGTCTATCTATCTATCTATCTATCTATCTATCTATCTATCTATCTATCTATCTATCTATCTGTCTGTCTGTCTGTCTGTCTGTCTGTCTGTCTGTCTGTCTGTCTGTCTGTCTGTCTGTCTGTCTGTCTGTCTGTCTGTCTGTCTGTCTGTCTGTCTGTCTGTCTGTCTGTCTGGCTGGCTGGCTGGCTGGCTGTCTGTCTGTCTATGTCTATCTGTCTATCTATCTATCTATCTATCTATCTATCTATCTATCTATCTATCTATCTATCTATCTATCTATCTAGCCACTTACGTTTCGGTGCTCTCGTGGTCACCCTTTTAGCTTGGCGTGAACCAAAATTAGTATGGGAGGGTGAGATAGTTTGACGAATATGACGCGCTAGTGAAGACATGAATATTAGGGAGCTTTAGAACAACGTTTGCCGGGGCTGCGGGCATAGCGGGCGCCATATGAGCTTTAGAGTAGCGTTTGATCGCCCTAGAGAAAAGTCTGGGGACTTTCGCGCCGACCGCAAACCCAAATGCACGGAAGGTACAGCACTTTGCGGGCCTCGCGGGCCGTGAATCGCCGCACGCTATTTCAGATTTTCTGCGGGCGAGCCACAAACGCGGATGACGACTCGCGTTACGACGCGTGCGCAGTGGCAGCGCCCACACTGCAAGGGCTCGCGGTGCGCCAATCTAAAGCTCCCTAATGTCACAATTTCGTCGCGTACGTCGTCAAACATTTCCCGCCAGGCAGTTGCACATACCCACAGGCAAGTATGTGCCGCTGGTATTCGGGTATGTACCACGGGTGATTGACACTTATTATTATACCCACAAACGACGAGAACACCCATGCGCAAATTTAACGCGCGAGCGTTAAGAAATGCCCGACATCGGTAACGTCGACCCGACGACTTCAAATGGTCCCCAGCTAGAATCGAACCCAAGCATTCTGCGGGGCAATGAAGCATTTTACCACAGAGCTACGCCAGGTCTCGGAACTACTTTTCAAATAGATGCTAATCTTCGTGAAACGTCAATAGTGGTTGCAGTGCTGCTTACCTAATTTTATAAACATTACAGATGTACTCCTTTCATGCAGCCGTCACGTAGGGTTAACGTAAATTGTGGTTAGTCGTCATGCGCTTAAGTGTATTTATGTTGTAAAGTCCAGGGCCAGCATCCTCGCGAGCATCAGCGCTTCATATAAAATTGTGGTTTATCAAATACGCATTTTCCAGTTGTCATCGTTACACAAGTGCAAACAACTACTTATATAAACATCTGCAACTATTCAACATATGCCTGTGCGTGCAACATTTGTACATGTGTTCAGCATCATTTCATGACGTGTCGCTCAATAATAAATTTCAACACGGTCACCTTCCCTCCGCATGCTTCGTATAACATCGATTTTTAGGTACGTGGGATCTGCCGAATTTTCGGAAGTAGTGCTGCCAGTAAATGACAGTACAGTACAGTACAGTACAGGCAGTTGCTAATTTAGTATTTTGTGTTCGTGTTTGTATACTTATTTACAGTATACCACCTTAGCACCTCTACTATGTCATAAAATATAATAAATATATCGACATGCTGTTTTGTTAAATGGTCCAAAATAGATGTCGATATATCAATATTTTTATAATATTTTTTATGTTTCACATGTGCTGGCTGTCCCTCCAGAAGTTTTAGATGGAAGGGCACAATCATAATATAGCTGTATGCTATAGTAGTCAAAATACCGTCGAAAAAATAACACAGTCTCGTCTCAAGGAATTCTTGGCGTTCACCAAAATACATGATGTTGTACCTCTCGTGCTAAATTCTGGGGCAAGAGCACGCGTATAACTATGAGTGGGAAACTCGTACAGGCTTCATACACGATTAATAATGTACTAAGACAGGCTTAACACGATAGCACATTGCGATAGTGCAGTGCGCTAATTCCATGCACATCGTATTCTGACAGGTATAGTATGAAATGGGTCCTGCAATGTTTTTTTTTTCAACTGTCGATATAATTGAATCGCTACAGGAGCTTGTTCCCTCAAGAATTCACCGCCACAAGAGGTTTTAGAATCAGTTCAGTACAAGCGGAGTTACACAGATTTGTCGCACGCCGCGATTGCATTCTCTCTTCTCTCGTCCCTACGAAAACGCGGGAAGCTAAGCAGGGAAGGATGGCGCGGGCATAGCCTCCTAAAAGTATATAGGAGGCTAAAGCACAGGGAAAGAAAATACGTCACGCGCGACTCGTGACCTTGAGCACTCTTTCATCATACTTCTTTTTTTTTTCTCCGAATACGCGACTTTTAGGTGCAATCGCGTGCTCACGCGGGGCAAGTCGCGGCTCTTGAAAAGACCGAGCGCGCCATGCTCATTTGAGCCAATGTTTGATACGACGGCTGCGACGAGCGACTTTTGCGCTTGTTCTGTCATTTGTCGAGATGATAGAAAGCAATTGTTTAGCTGACTTTGAGATTTGATTGTGAACTCCAGGCCACGTGCTGACGCTGTAATGCTTGACTCACGTGTTCTCGGGAGCCTCTTCTATACCAATCGGCATGCACTTTCTAACCATGCTCAAAAACTGCTGCAGGGCTTCTTCGAACCAAAGAATATCGCAATCGCAGCGCATCACAATGGAAAACGAGAACGTTGTACGTCATTGGGAGGTTATGACGAAGTTGTCGAGGAAAATAATACCCACAAGCAAAGTCTCAAGCACTGATGCGATTATGCCGGCGGCCGGCCGCAGAACCATTTCCTGTTACTGATTGCACATGCTGCCTTAAATGTGCAGTAAGTGTGGAGTACTTTCTATCTACTCAGTTCACGATTGCGGAGAGATCTTTGCGGTTCGGCTGTATTTCGTTCCGAGTGTGGATCACCTCAGTTTGCCACGATTGCTTCTAACTTCTCATTTCTTCTTCAAAGTAAACTATGAATAGCAAGGGCTCGCGTGAAGTAGCTAATCCTTTACTAACGAAACCTCTTTCGTGAAGTCACAAAACTGGACGTTTGCAATCCAACCATCTCGCGTCATGTTCGTAGTCTACATCATTGGCGATGGCCAAGGTCGCGCGGCATTACACAAGGTCACGGGTTCAGTATTCACATTGCCTGTTGTCTCATTTGGACGAAGTCACAACACCTAAATACCCGCTTACTTACGTTTCCACATACGTTTGAGCGCTTTTCTGTTGGCCCATCAGACTTGGCTATATGGCCTACAGATCAACTGACTTGTGTAGGGGCCAAACTGAGTCAGTTTCCTTACTAGAGTCATATTTCACAAATATAGTCTACAGTTTGATTAAAAGATGACATTCCGACCCGTATGCGTGTGGAAGCTAAATAATTAAAAGTAAAAAATAAAAACGAATTGCTTCCAGCAGCCGAGCACCCATAGAGCCAGTGTGCGAATCACACACATGTTTCGTGCAGTTCGTGTTTCAGTATATGTGCTCAAGATGTTAAGACATGTCTCTCTCTTTAGGCTGACCATGTGCTTCAAGCATCTTTGATTCAAGGGCGACTTTGTACATTGCTAAGAACGGGAAATAGTGAGCACGTACGAGCTACAATATAGATGAGAAACGCAATTGGTGTTCACCACTTATTCCCAAGAGCGCTGATGTCACAGTTCCAATCAACACATGTAGATTAACTTGCCTGCATAGTTCGGGTATTCTTTTCGTTTTTTTTTTTTTGCTAAGTTGGTATTGTTTATTTTTGTGTTGCTTATAAAAATGGTTCGCGTTCAGTCTCACGTTTCCCTTTGTATTGTTTTTTTTTTCAGTGATCGACTACCTAGCAACCCTAATGTGCACCTTCGAGGACAACTACCCGGAGAGGCTTCACAGAGCGTACGTCGTCAACGGTACGTGTTGCAGCAGTGCCGTTGGTACTGCAATAAGGTACACCTTCAACTAAAAGTAATTAAATAGGAATCGGTCTTGCTGATGGTGGAAACACACACTGGTTTGCGGGTTTGGATATTTCGAACCTTGAGAGTTCATGGCAACTTCGTTTCAGGAGTCGTACTGTTACTTTTTTTATGTGAGGCGCCCTAGAAGAAAACTCTATAAGCGTATGAAGTGCATGGCGCATGAAAAAAAGATTGAGATTTGAAGTACTCATTTATCCATCTTTTTCATTGATTGATTATGTGGAATATTTCTTAATGAAACAAATATTTTAACGATGCCAATGGCATTCGTTGTGAACGTTTTAAGAGACTTTTCGCCTTTCAGCTAGTTGTTTTGACGTAAAGTCTTGCTCATTGATTTCATATGAAGACACGATGTTTTCTGGTGAGTTTACCCGCATGACTGTCGTAGTCGTTGTGCCCTCGTTTACTTCGTCAGACCATTTACTTAAAGTTTACTTCGTCAAACCATGTCTGTAAATGAACCTTCGTGTATTCATTCATTTAACTTCATTCAACTTATTACTTTTTCAGATCGCAACGTTTCGAGTTTGTTCTTTCGCCTTGTGACATGGGGAATGACATTTCATTCTTTTTTTGTTTACAGCTCCTAGGTACTTCCCTCTCTTTTGGAAGATCATTCGGCCATTCCTGAGTGACCTTACTGCGCGAAAGCTGGCCCTCTACGGCAAAGGTGAGAATACACGAAAATTGCATCTTATGGTACCGAGATATTCCGCAGAAAATCCTTCATCTCCACTGGTGTATGCTTGCCCGTTCATGTAATGCATACACAGTCAACCACAAAAGTTTGCGACCCACTCGAGTGCATGCCAAACTGCATGTCTGTGCCATCTACCGTCGTCCATAGTGCTAAGCCGGAAACGATTCTTGTTCTTAGATGCGAAGCGTCTTAAGGTCGATCTCAATATGGTGTGTGGTGTGACCACCCTCACAGTGCATGCGTGCCGCTCCCCCCTCTCTACGCTTCCACTCTCGACTCGTAACGCCGACGCAGGCAGCGCCTTCTAGCAAGTTTCTTTATTGAAAAAAAAAAATCGACTGCTCGCTCTGCACTACCTTTAACTGGCTACCTCGCATATATTGACTCAGGGTTTTGACCCCCAATGTAGTGCCGGTGAAAGGTTTCTCCTGTGCGTTGTTGAACAATAAAAATTTGCAGCGTGCGTGTTAACTAGAAGCGGACTACGGGTCTCTGTTTCCAGTCTGAGTCTTCTGTCTCTCATTGCCCGTTAGCAGCGATTGACATGTTCTAGTATAGAAACACCGATCCATCACTGCGTGCCCCACCCCATAATTCTCTCCTGCCCAACGCCACGATCGGCGCTAGCGTCAACGCCACCGCCAGTGTAAGCGTTAGCGCCCGCTGCTTCTCATGTCCACCTGGTTTCCTTTAGCGGGAGATGGTGTAATTTTTAGGGGCGAAGCTTCTTATAGGCTCGGGTGGTGCATCCCTCCCGCGTAGACAGCACAGCATATCCACAGACGTACAGACAGACAGACAGACAGACAGACAGACAGACAGACAGACGTACAGACAGACAGGCGTACAGACGGACAGACGGACAGACTGACAAACTGACTGACAAACTGACTGACTGACAGACTGACTGACAGACTGACTGACAGACTGACAGACTGACTGACAGACTGACGGACGGACGGATGGACGCACGGACGAATGGATGGACGGAGTCCAATGGACGAACGGGCAGGGCGCCCCACTGATCATTCTTCACTCCGGGGATATGCCGTAATTTTTTTACTGACCTTTCAATTTTATATTTCCAAGTAGCGCATTGTTAGTTCGCAGTTTTCACGCGAAGCGTTTATCTTCTTAAGATATAATTTAGTGCTCTGTCCTGTCCGTCTATCCCTTCCTCTTTCCGCATTTCGCATCGCGTTACGAAAAATTCTTAGAAATCCATCACAAACAAGCCCACATTGCAACTCTCGTCGGCCTATTTGCACTATTCGGCTGTATGACCGTCACATTTCTATTTTCGTAGCAGGATCGAAGCTATATCATGCACGACGTGCCTCGAACGGCGTTCCGTTACCTATCACAATGTGATGAAGATTGCGACAGTTATGCAAATGGACTGCTTTCAAGGCAGAAGATAAGAGAAGCGCGTAGACGCTGATGATAAAAAGCGCATTGCGTTAAAAAGTGAAAGGTGAGAATTATTTGTACCCAGTATGAAAGGAGACTGGCCGTAGATTAAGGAAAGGGTGCTGCTCGGGCGCTGCGGTGCTGTCAATCACCGTGGACGTAGCTTAAGTGTGAAGAGACTTTTGGCAACGCGCTTGCGTGGTGCATAAACTTGTGTGGTTGACTGCGCATGCAAAGTAAACTTCAGGAGAGACGTGGGGGTTCGAACTTCCCATATTTCTGCATTTTTTTTTTATTTGGCGTACGCGTACACATGCCGAACATGTTCACTTCTTCCTAACTCTCATCCTCCTTCACGTAAGCATTTCTAGCTAAACCCCTGGTGAATGGTCTTGTTTAGCTTTGCGTTTTGGTAGGCTAAATATGCTCGTGTTCTTGTGTTTTCTATGGTGTACGGCTGCTGCGTAGGAAAAGGGTTTGCCTTAACTCCTTGGCTGCACGTCTTGGGACGAACACATCGATGTAGCCCAACGTCCAACCGATACGCATCTATTGAACTGCACGCAGACTGATTTTGTTCTGACACTCTAGCGCACGAACCCGCAGTATTCTGCAGCCCTTCGCCACTTTGAATTTTCAGACGAGCAGGCCTGGAAGAAGGCCCTGCTGGAAGAGATCGACGCCGACCAGCTACCGCGATACTGGGGAGGCACGCAGACAGACCCTGACGGAAACCCTCGATGCCCCTCTGTGGTAAGTTCCTGGCCCGACCGTTTGATTTGAATGACACCCCAAATTCCTTTCAGAGCCATGTTCGAATCGCTCCGCCGTGGCGGTCTAGTCGCTAAGCTACTCGGCTGCTTACCCGCAGGTCGCGGGATCGAATCCCAGTTGCGGCAACTGCATTAACGATGGAGGTGAAAATGTTGTAGGCCCGTGTGCTCAGATGTGGGTGCACGTTAAAAAAACCCCAGGTGGTCGAGGTTTCCGGAGCCGTCCACTACGGCGTCTCTCATAATCATGGGGTGGTTTTGGGACGTTTAACCCTACAAATCAATCAATAAATCAGCCATGTTTGAATTGCCGTGCGCTCACGACGATGAGGGATGCAGAATCCTAAGCGTCGAAAGTCGGACCATTTATTGGGCGAATCTGTGCCTTACGAAGCAAGAGAATCGCACTGAAAAACGATAGCGGTGGGCACAGGGGTAGTTAGATTAAAAAAAAACTGATCGTCTGTGAAATGCCTCCACGCATAAACGTACACGTCATTCTGGTGTTATCACCGATGATCGCGCCTAATCTGGATAGTACTAAAACATACGCAATCGGACATGCGATCTTTAGAGAACCATCGACGTCTCATTCACGAAGCACCATGCCAGACAAAGCGTGTACCACGACGGTCGATGAGGCGCACCGCGTGAGAGGAAAAAATGCAGTCTTTGTGAAATCCAATAAAACAAGCCCAAGTGTCGATGTTTATATACTCCGTACTTGATTATAGGTGCGCGGCCATCATCATTGTCATAAGCACTCGTACAGAACCCGCACCCCAGTATTTATTTTTTGACAAACTCTTGAGGGTAAGTTAGCTTCGAAAAGGATGTTTCTTTACTTCCATAAGCTCCTGCATGACTTGTATTTCCCGTGGCAGGAAATAACGGAGCAACTGTCAAGCATGTAGCAAGAAACTGCAGCTTCTGCAGTGCAGTGGGAAGTTGCTATCATTTTCCTTGCGGAATAGGTCACCTCTTAGGTAATTGTTAAGACAACGGCCCGTTTAACCCGTATACGTATATACGCCACATAATTTTGGCATGTGGTAAACAACGATAACTGTTGTACATTGAAGATTGTAATGTTCTGCTTTCGATTATTGAACCTGCCAGCAGCCGTACTTCTCTTATTTAAAGACTGGTCGTTTTACGAGTAGTTTTTTTTTTTTCTGTACAGGCAGGTTCTTTACTTTCCCTTTTACAGTATATTGCTCAACATTTTGACTAAATACATCATGTGTGCTTCAGCAAGAGAGTGAGAAAAAAAAGCACCCCCCCCCCCCCCTTAGGCCAAACCAGCACTTTCTCCCCACCGAAGCTACTTCCCCAGCAGTGACACTGCACGTATTTGCACAACCACTCCCTGAACAAAATCCTGCCGACTCTCATTTGGATACAGGAGGGCGTTTATAAAAGATCACGTCGGTGTCTTAACACATGGATGGGAATGGTGTTCATGCATTCCGATCCCACAATTGAAGGTAAAATAACATCCGGCGGACCTTCTCATATCCTGCCATTGTCAAAAAGCCCATTCATTTATCAATTACTTTATGTATCGTGTTATGAACGTCTCTGCACGTGCAGGCAAGAATAAAAGCGGCCACGGAGACAGTGTGCACCATTCATTGCACCGAAACCTGGCAACCCTCGCGAACAGCCCCTTATATCACCTGTCTTGATATGAATCGCGGATGATTTCAAAGGTCATAAACAGGCCCGTGTTACATTTTAAATGTTCAGTGTTCCTGTTTGTGCAGAGTGTCACTCGAGTTTGTGTACAAGGTCGCTCTACTTTTCAGCGAATCTTGTAATCATCACTCTCTCTGTCACACTTAGGACACCACGAAAATAACTATTGCCTATAAAAGCTTGACTGTACACAAATAATGACAATGCGTTAGAGTTTGTGCTGAAGACTTTGTTCTTGTGCAACAAATAACAAATTCATTTGTGGGAAGTATATTTACCCATAGGCTGGCGAAAAATTGAGCTCACTCAGTCAATCATGAAACATACCTTACCCATAGGACTGGTTTTGCGTAAAAGGTTGTAACGGCTCAAGCGTGCGTAAATATTGTGGCATTGTGCTATCATTACCATTACCTCTCTACTCTTCACCCTCCTTCAATGCTATATATAGTAAGCAAATTACTTTTTTTTTCATACTCTCGTCATTTTCTATATGCTTGTCATACATAGCTTCCCATAACGTTTGACTTGCCGAAAACGCAGCACTTACAAGGGTTCATTGACAAATCATACCATACATATTCAACTTTCCTCCCCAAAGGTTATAGATGGTGGAGAGGTTCCTACCCGCTACTACCGAAGCACGAACGGCCATTCGCCGTCTGAAGAGCAGCAGTGTTTGGACCAGATCCCCGCGGAACTGGCGCGGGCGAACACGGCTGTGAGTCGGCAGGCGACAGTGGAGGTGCCAGTACGAGTGTCAGAGGCCGGCATGCTGCTTGCGTGGGAGATCGTGTGTGACGACCTGCTGTTCGGGATCCTCTACCGAGGCAATGGCACGTTGTCCGCTGAACATGACAGCGCCGAAGTCGTTCTCAAGCCATCCCGCATCAAGGCTGGCTCCAAGCTGCCCGAGGCCGGGTCGCTGACGTGCTCAAAGCCGGGCCTGTGTAAGTACCACCTTTTCTGGGTTGATAGGAAATCATTCCACCAATGTTTCCACGAGTTGACTTGTCTTCGTCAAGACAGCATCTGCCATTTTTAGGGACGCATTTGTGTACACTTTGTTCGCTCTGCCCTATTGTCAGAAGAGGACACATAGAGAAGTCCGTTCCTCTCCTCCATGTTAGAGGCTGGTGCAGACGAAGCAAAATGCACACATGCGCGCAGCTTAGGCAGGCAGTTTCTACATTGATGAAGACAAGTCCGTTTGTAGAACAGTTAGCTACAGCGACCAACCCTCTTAAACGATTTATCATCCCTTGACGCCTCCATCTTTCCATAGACTTTTTGTCTTGCTTGAGCTCTCATTGGTTCTGGCTGTAACTCACGTAATATATATCCCCCAGTGTTTCTTTTTTTTTTAATCTGTTATCGAGACTCTCGTACAGGGGCCGAAACGTCTTCGTTTTATTTGCTTCTATCGCAGCCAGCTTCTTGTTTTCAGTATCTTCATGCCTGTTCTTGACCACACGGGTTTCCGTAGCGATTTCACAGCCGTCTCCTGTTCATTTTCTTGTACGTGCTTTACAGCAATGGACCACATAGTGAGCACTTTCTCCAGTGGCATGTGACTCCTCCCGCGTAGATGTTAAGCGGTGTTCACTGTGGCATTCTTAGAGCAGCTGAATATAGGTGGCTGTTTTATAAATGACTGTCCCTCGCAATGGTGGATGGGTGCACCGCAACCTCGACGTTGCTCTGTTAACGCTTCCTTCTTCTCTATATTTTCATGCAGACGTGCTCAACTTCGACAACACTTTCAGCACGTTCACTTCCAAGAAGCTGTCTTACTCGGTTCGACTCCTGGAGGCCACTACGATTTGACCAGTCTCCTGAGTCTGTGTTTGGGCCATATACCTTTCAGTGGTGTTGACACAAGGAACTTTCCTTGGAGTTCTGCATTCAGACTGGCGTTTTCTAAACGTCCGTTGTTGTTGTTTTTTTTTCATTGTTAATATATGAAGTTCGCCACGTATGGCGTGGCATGGTACTTATTAAAGTGTGTATTCCTCTGTACGTATTTCTTATACTATTACGTTGTCGGATGTTGTGAACTTAGTCATCAGAAGTTACACTACAGTTGCGGACATTTCTTAGCAGTGAAGGGAAAGCTACGGGGCCTGGGTACATATTACTGCGCGGCGTAAACATTGCATACCATTTGCTTTGTTTCTTCAGACGGCCATTTGGTGCAAATGTTCGCCGCAAGTTTCTGATGCTTGTAGACTCACCTAAAGGCGTAGACGCCATTTAGCGCTTGATGTATATGTCAGAGAGGTACTTTTCGCGCGTGTAAAACATAAGTATGAAAGGGTCTCAATGAAAACAAATATCAACGTCTCACTGGCGTGTGCTTCGTATTGCATGAAAAAGCTTCCTGTAAAAATATCCTTTACTTCTCACGCAGAAGACACGGACACAATTGTGATATTACATTCGTTAGCCGCTACATTTGCGCGGTTTGATTGTGTAGCCTTGACTTCATTGACAAGAAAAGTTGTCCGCAACTATTACCCCAACCACATACAGACACAGGAAGTGTGAATAGAGCGCCACAGCCAGCTGTATCTGTTCAGCAGGAAGTGCTATCTATGCACATGCGCGACGCATACTGAATGAAGTTCCTTTCCTGTCCTGCAGATTTAGTGGCTTATTGCATTTCCAGAGTGCTAACAAAGTTTGTTGTAACGAATGTCTCGTATAATTCTTACTAGGTGTCTTTATAAGTAACTGCATACCGGTCTTAATGCTGTTCGGATGTGCGCCGCGACTGACACGTATACAGCTGATTTTTCTTGCGTATTTTTTTTTTCAGCCAGGAAACGACTCTTCACTGCAGCGAGTGTGATGTCACGCTGCAGCATTCAGTTCAGTTGTTTGCGTATGCACACCGTTGTTACGCATTGTGTTTTTTTTGCGTAGTTTTTTTTTTTTTCTTCGTGGGACCCGTGGTGCAAGTGTCACCGTTTGGTTGTACTAGTTTATTGTAGCTACTCTCTCTGTCCACGTCCTGCATTTAAAAAAAAGTACTCTTGATAACAAGTGTAATATTACGAAACGTTCCATTTGGACCCACTATTTCTCTTTGGAAGGATCGTTTCTCGCTTTCATTTCGAACATCACCACTTGATGGGTGATGCGAACAGCGTAATAACAATGTTGCTATTACGAACCCTGATCTCATCATATGTCGCCAATGTTACGTGCTCAGTTGCCAGGAATTAAGTTCGTTTTTATCCGTGACTTTGAGTAGTTACCATAAATTAGGTTATCCGTCACTTTGGGGAGCACATGTCAAGAACCTTCTAGCTACTACTTTTCGGGTCAAATTGTCTAGCCAATACCGTGCCTGTGTGGTAACTCCTAGCCTCCGCGATCAGCAACCGCGCGTTGCCGGAGCTGTCCGCGGAGGCCAAGGAGAACTTTGGTGACACTCGTTGTGACTGATAGATGTGAAAGCATTGAGGTGCACAAACTCGAAAGTACAATTATTCGCACTTTGTTCCACAAATCCAAAGTACACAACGGTGCTCTGAATGTTAAATAGCTTAACTGAGTACACGTGAGCGGCAATACGAAGTAGAGACTGTGATGTAAATGCTCTTCCAGGGCAGCGCCGACTTGCTTGTGCTGTACTTTCTAAGCCTAGATAACGCGACAAGTTCCAAGCGAGCGGCGAAATCGAAAGGGTCCTCCTGACGCTTTGCCAGAACTTGTTCTTCATGGTTGGAACGCTGATGATTGCGAATAAATGGCGTTCAGAGAACGCCCGTTATTTTCACATTGTGTCTCTACCCTTCATTTCTCGGCCTCTCACGTTCGGACACAAAGATGCACGTCATTCCCAGTAGTGATGGATGTGTCCTGTGCAGCGCAATTGCTAAACGTGTACAGCAGAACTGAACAGACTTGGCCCCTCTTCCCCACTTCGTCCTTTGAATGCCCTCTTTCTATCAGTCGGCCTTGTCGATAGTTGCTGCGTGCAGTACAACTGTCGGCCCAGTTTCTAAAGGACAGAAAAGAAACAGAGAAAAAATGCGTAGCCACACAAAATCTCGGCAAATGAGGCTGAAATAAAATGGGTATTTGTGTGGGGCACGAGACCGAGCACAAAAGGCTCTATGAATAATGTCTAGTGCAATAATCGTGATTTGTTTTCACTTTAAACGAAATGCATAAGTTGCGGTGCTCAAATTGTCCCTTAGTGCTTCTCGTCAGTTACTCGAGGCTGGGTCCAAACACTGCACCATATGCAATAAGATGCATGTTTAGTTGTTACGCGTCACGTTCATTGATTTATTTTTATGCGAAGGAATTATTAGCAAGGTACGAATGAAAATGGAGGCCTGGTGATACTTGGACGTAGCAGGTTCGGCCCCTGCTGGCGGGTATACAGGGCGTATTTCTTTAATACAGATTTGTCCTTAAAAAAACTATAATGGGTGGGCACTAGTCGTTATCGCATCCGATGTCTAGGCCAAGGCGGAAATATTTTGCCGCTAATTAGATCACTCGGTTATGATTAGCAAAACTAACTGATTTTAATTTGCTAAGACAAGTTTTGGGGTGGTTGTTTATATAGTGAAGTTGTTCTACGTCACAAATTATGGCAATCGTTGTTTTTTTTATAAAAATTGGAAATATCACGCATGGTTTAATAAATCCATCGTCGAAATTCCAGACCGTGGTGCCACAGCAGCTGAAACTAACCGAGTGCGTCGAAACGAACGCACTCGATGTGTCAGTTTGGGTTTCTCCAGCACAGCGGTGGGGAAATTGCACGACGGATCTCTGAAGCCATGCGTGGTATTTTCAATTTTTATTCAAAACAATGCTTGTCGTAATCTATTACGCTGAACAACTTTGCCATATAAACAACCACCCTAGTAAAATTGATCGTAGAAATATTTAATAAAATATTTTATCAATTAATCATTCATTAGTGATCCAGCTAGTGGCAAAATCTTTCCATTTGGGTCTAGAAATTGGCTGCGAAGAGGACAATCACTACCTATTGTAGTTTTTTTAAGGAAAAAGCTGTGTTGCTTAAAAAAACACTCCGTATACTTGTCTTTCCATGCGCTTTAATTATTTCTTTTTTATATTGTATTGTACACTTGGCTTCATTATTTTTGGTGTTGCCTGCCATTAATCTAGATAAACAAGAAATTGAGTAAAAGTTGGTACTATACCACAACCGTGCGCAGATGCTATAGTTATGTCGCATTCAATTCTGAGTTGGAGAGGCGAACAAAGGTCAGCAGGTAAGTCATAAATGCGCCACATTTTCTGCTCTACACGGGGAGAAAAAAATTGAAATAGAGCTAGAAAGGGAGAAATAATCACGCGAGTTTTCGAGTGTGCAATATTGAGTCGACAAACGGTCGCGAAGACTTGTAGATATTGCACTTTGTGTGCTCGGCAACCACGTGAAGGCGTGAAAAAGTAAAAGGCAAAGACCGAACTCGCCCAATGAGGTGTGGTTTAGGGAGTTTATCGATGTCTTCGCTATTTCATCCTTATAGTTTAAAAAAAAGGCTTCCTAAAGCGACCTCTAGACAAACCCGATTCTGCTGAAGCGCGTAGTGTTATACCTTTGCCCACTGAAGTGCATGCATATATAGTGTGGTCAAGAGCAGCGCCTATACTTTTTTTTGTTCTAGAACAATATGAGAATGAATGAATGAATTAATGAATAAACTGTATCTAAAGTCCGGTAGTTTCCTTCGGGCGAGGTGGGGGAAGAGAGGATTAACCCATGTCCCAGGCCATTCGCCCTCGATGATTATGGCAATGCCTCAGGTGACGACTTGAAATTCCTGAAAAAAAAAGAAAAAGAGGCATTTTTATTTCTGTTTCTCACATCATAGTGAACATACCGGGTGTTTCACGCAACTAGAGAGAAATATCTCAAAAATAGTGGTCAACCGCTACTGAATAAAACGAAGGACATGTGATTTAATTTAGGTAGCCATCATTTGGTGTTAATTAGAGTGCTTTATTTATTTATTTTATTTAAATACCTTAAGAGCCAGAGGGCATTACATAAGGGGGGATACATACAAGAGGTTACTATAGCATCAGTAAAACAACATGTCAGGGAGTAATACTAGTAATCAAACTGACCGATAGCCCAAGCAACATTACTAATAACACAATAAGCAAAAAACACAGTAAGCAGCTCACCATAACCTAATGCCTAATTAGTCATTTATGATCAATTAAGTGAAAATTTTAACGTTCCCTCTAGGGCCAAGTGTGTTTCGTTACACCACAAAGGGCACTGTTCCACAATGATAAGTTAGCTTTTTTGCCAAAGTACCTGTGCGTGGTGGTTTTCTTCCGGTGTTCAAGCAAAAACCCGCGACGTAAAAAATGAAAGCGCATGGCCGCGCCACCCAACTGAAGTTCTCTCAATTATGGGAAAGGGTCCCGATGTATTGCCAAGAGGCCTTCAAACAAAACAGCCAAAGTCATCAATAATGATAGAGGACTAATTTGACACGTGCCTTCATCAGGTGATAAACATAGCATCGATAGCACCGTGAAATCTTCAGCTGCATGCATATCTGTAATTCAATGATTGGCATTAGAAAAATGACCCATCACTTTTCTAACGTTTCACTCCTTCGCGGCTTTCTCATTTGCCCCGATTATTCAGAAGATATTAGAGAAAAATGTATTCGGTATTTCAAGTATACAGATATTCCATTCGAGTACCGAATCTCATGGAACGTTATTCGATTCGTTATCAGATATTTTTTTAATATTCTCACACCCCTTAAATAAAGTAGGAGTATGCTCTGCCCCTTACCAAGCACCACGTGTCAAAAGTAAAACTTACCGAAACTAGTAAGAGGTAGAAGCACTGTTGCTCTCCTGCCAGTCAACGCTCAGTGTGAAAGAAGCATGGGTCGAGGGTCATTGTCAACAACAGCGATACGTCACCTATGCAGGATTTAGGGCATTCTGTTTCACCGGGCATCGTGCAACAAGTCTACCCATGTACGTACGGCGTTCGATCAACGTTTACCGTATACGATCACGTTTTAGCATAGGGGTTTCACTTGTATCACAGTTTTGACTGGGGAAATAATGAGATCTAGCAAAGAGTCATGCCAACAACGTATGGGGTACGTTATTAGAAGTACTTGTAGTGCGAATGAAAACAAGGAAAAGTGGACGAAAAGATCATTTGCCGTGGGCAGGGACCGACCGAATCTGCGACATTTGAATAAGGCGCCTTATGTTCTAACAACTAAGCTACCATGGCGGCTATCTTCCAATCTACTTTATGCAGTTTGGATGTGCACTCAAAATGTGGGAGCGTCAATTCGCACCGCCAGTACTCATGGCGGCGAGTGTGGAACTCTTTATCAGCCTGTTTGGCGTCACGTAGCACGCGAACTTATAACGAGCTGGCAGTTGTATGTGCGCTTTTACATGGGGATCAGGTTTTATCGGCTGATTTTTTTTCTGCTGTAGGTGTTATGGCGAAATAATGTAAGCAATCATGTTTCTCTGTGACGTGATTGTACATCACAATGGTGAACTCTGTCTGTTCCGCACTGACTTTATTCATACACTCTAAAAAAACAAGGGAGCGAGAATGGAGAAACGGGCTCCGTTCCTCCTTCGGCGCAGCGACTTCCTTTCTTTCGGGCACTCTACCCGTCGCGCCCTCTCGCA